TGATTTGGCTCTTTCATTGACTTTGAATGTTATTTATATAAGGCCAGAGTTATTTTCTCCAATAAAAATGTAGTTTAAACTGTGAAAATTTAAATCTATCACAGAGATCAAAGTATTAGTTAAAGTACACTCTTGAGATCTTGCCATATTTGCCCAATTTCAGTATTCAGTGCTTCAGGATTATATTTATGTGTTTTTATGTAAATCTTATTAACTTTTCCTCATGTAGGGAACACAAATATATGCTGCAAAAAGAGGATCCTTTGTTGACCTTGGAATTTTAGATGTCATGCAGATATTTGGCCGAGCCGGGCGACCACAATTTGACAAATTTGGGGAAGGAATCATTATAACAACACATGAAAAACTCAGCCATTACCTCACTTTGCTTACTCAACAAAATCCAATTGAGAGTCAGTTTCTGGAAAGCCTTGCAGATAACCTGAATGCAGAGGTAAGAGCTCATGAATAAAAGATTGTAATAGAGTCACTAGCTTTAAGAATAATAAAGGTTGAGTTGGTTCTATTTTATAGTATTTAGGAAATTATTTAGTATTTGTGTCATGTAGTCAAAAGATCACAGTCTGCCAATATTGTTGATTAATTTACTGCAGTACAAAATGTAGACGATACAACTAATAAGAACACATTCCTAAATGACTGTATTTTTATTTTGTGAAGTTTTGTTATGAACTGTAAATCCAATGCAAACTTACACAAATAAGGGAAACAAGTAGCAATAATAGCAACAAGTATTTATTTTTCAATTTTATAAAGTTTTTAATGAAGTGTTTAACAAACTTCTATAAGATATATATTGTTCTTTTATCTTTATTAGGTCATTTGAATAACTTTGGTTACATAAGATGTGATTTCTTAAATTCAGCCAGAGTATACTTTGTTTAGTGTGTGTATATGACTTTTACTTTAAGATCTAAATAACAAATATTGGAGGCCTAGGTAAAGAAAATAAACATTCTTACAATTTAGAATATGTATGTTAAATACTCAAATGAGGTTTCACTACCTTGGTATCCTTTCTAACCTTTGGTTTTAACTTACATAAGGTTTAAAAGCATGTAGGCTATAAATGTGAAATAAATTAATGAAATAACCACAACCAAATATTACTTATTTTGTGCAAGCTTTCTATCAGGTACTTCTCAAACAGCTTGTAGAAATTTCACTTGCATTGTATTCATGTTATTTTCAAAACAAAGTCACAATGCAGTTCCCTTTGTTAGCAAACACATAGTCCAAAAAGGGAGAAAAAAAATATATAGTGCAATGATGTTGGAAAGAAAGTGATACATTCTATACAAGGTTTCAGCAGGAGAGAATACACTTGGCCCCCAACTGACAGGAAAGGCTTCATTCATCAAAGTGGTAAAACTTAATCTGAGCTCGAAAGGATAGATATGTTTGGGAAGATATGACTGGAAGTTAGAAAAAAAGGCATGAATATCACTGGTTTCTATTAACAAAATTACAGGACAATCAAAAAAGACTAGAAAATAAATTTTAACTCTAAAGAGAAATAATATTACAGCCCAATTTCAGTCTTCTGTTGCTTACTATGATTGTATAGTTTAAATGATTCAGTCTTGGGTCAACAGTATTTATAATGGGATAAAGTCTACTCTTGTAAAATGGTAGTAATAGTAGCAGTGAACTGAGGGCCTACTAATACACAAGAGAATACTGGGTGCTTTGTTTACATTCTTTTATTCTCTCAGATACATTTATCCTCAGAAAGATGTATACCTGACCCAAGGACACTAAGCTATAAGTTTTGGAACTACTACTCAAACTTAGGTCTATTTATCTCTGAACCCAGTCTTTTTGTTATAGCTTAGATTTCTGCTATCTTATATAAAATATAGTAAGTTAAAGGTGAATATATTTTTCTAGATTAGTACTTTCTTTACCTTCTGGTAAGACCTAACTTTTATAAGAAAAACATGGCTGTCTTATACAGTTGTTTTTTAAGTATGTCAAGAAAGACCAATCATAGTAAACTTAGAATTAATGTTTGTGATACAATTTCATAGGTGGTAAAGCAAACATAAGGTAGTTGATGTTATTATGCAGAAGATACAAACTGAGTATAATATTGCTCTTGTCCTCAGGGAACTCTTTTTCCCTAGGGGACAATAAAATAGCATCAATGAAATTGTTTAGTCAAGCCCTGAGAATAAAAATAAATTATGGCCTATAAGTTCATCTCGTGTTCATAAAGTATTTGACATGCCATTCCATCCACAGAAATGACATAAAAAGCATTCAAATAAAAATTGAAATTTTTAGCTAATATAATGAAGTACAGTCATTGTGAAACTTCCTCATAACTTAATCAACTGAATAGCTCCCCTTTAAAATAAATTTTCCTATTAATGAAATAAGTTGAATATGAAATTAACCTTGGTAATCTGTGGAAATTGAGTATGAAATTAATCTATAACATGAACCTCTGCTTTGTTCTTTTTTTTTTTTTTTTTTCATTTTTCTTTTATTATTCATATGTGCATACAAGGCTTGGTTTATTTCTCCCCCCTGCCCCCACCCCCTCCCTTACCACCCACTCCACCCCCTCCCGCTCCCCCCCCCAATACCCAGCAGAAACTATTTTGCCCTTATCTCTAATTTTGTTGTAGAGAGAGTATAAGCAATAATAGGAAGGAACAAGGGGTTTTGCTGGTTGAGATAAGGATAGCTATACAGGGCATTGACTCACATTGATTTCCTGTGCGTGGGTGTTACCTTCTAGGTTAATTCTTTTTAATCTAACCTTTTCTCTAGTTCCTGGTCCCCTTTTCCTATTGGCCTCAGTTGCTTTAAGGTATCTGCTTTAGTTTCTCTGCATTAAGGGCAACAAATGCTAGCTAGTTTTTTAGGTGTCTTACCTATCCTCACCCCTCCCTTGTGTGCTCTCGCTTTTATCATGTGCTTTGTTCTTAAGGTAAAAGATTTTTAAGTCTTGAGACTCCCAAAATCTTTGCAAGACTCTACAGAAATCAACATACATGTCATGTTAGGTTAGGAATGCTGTCTTTATTAATATCTTTATTTCATGAATAATAGTTTTGACTGTTAGCTTAGAAAAACTAGAGAAGTTATTATGGTTAAGTATAATTTAATGCTGACTCCATAACCCTAAAGCTGAAAGGTCACAGTTCCCTTCCCTATGTAAAGCCTCTTCATTATGCACTGAGAGAAACATAATAAAGTGTTTGAGTCTTATGACCTTAGCACCTACTTGGTGCTAGCCCACATAGTCTGTACTTTTAAACTATGTTAATTTTTCTGTATTATGACTTAAACCATATGATTTTTTGGCAGTATTGGAGTTTGAACTCAGGGCCTTGCCCTTGCCTAAGATTTGAGCCATGTCCCAGCCCTGCAACACATTCTTTGTATACAGAACTTCACCTTTTTCTGAGGATGTTGCACAAGTACCTTCTTCTTGTATTTAAGGCCTCCACATTCTGCCCAACTGCCCCATCTCACTCTTACTTCTCTCCAACACAGATCTTCAGCCATAGAAGGCTATTGCTTTCCTCACTATAGTCACTTCACTGTAAAGTCCCAGTTTTCTTACTTATTAAATGAGGATATTCTCATTGCATTGTTATGAAAATTTAGTACTTGCCTATGTCCAGTTAGTGTGCAGCAAATGATAACATCACTTATTGTTTTCTGTTAGTCCCTTTATACTCAGCCCCTTTTGTGCTCACTACCAGCCTTGGAATTTTAGTTTCATAAATAAATGGTAGAATAAATTTTTTCATAAATTTACTAAATCAGTTTATATGGAGATTTTTACATATATCAATTTATGCATACATACACATGATTATAAATTTGCTTATTTAGTTTTTATATGGTTTTTGGCCAGTTTTTCAAAACACATGTAGTACAAATAAATAAGATAGCCTTAAAAGGTCAAATTAAATAGATGAGTTAGAGTGAACTGATACTTGAGTCTTATTTCTAAATCACCGTATTTTGGGTGGATCTTATATTTCTTAATGGAACTTTATCACACTATACACTAATACCACTTATATAAGATTCATATGTCAAACACTTTCTTTAAAACTATTTTTAATACTGTTGGGTTCAAATGTTATCTTAATTGGTTGCATATGTTTCATTTCCATGACTAGGGAACTTCTTGAGGCTATGGAAGATGCTATGCTTGTTACCATATCTATTGTGCTTTACCTGGAGGACAGGTTTATTGCTGGTTATTGAGGTGAATCAGTAAATTTCAAAGATACTCTATGAAAAAAATACTTGTTTTATGAAAGTCTCTTATATTAAGTAGCTAGTAGGTAACAGCAATATGTAAGGAAATTTTTATTTTTATCACTAGGTGGCATTCAAGGATTAGTCCCAAAACCAGGTGTACCATCATAAATTTACATTTATTTTTCTGGATAGTCTCCTCCCTTTTGAGGGAAAGATTAGAAGGCTTTCTTGCTTGATCCAATCTTTGATACTACCTCCTCCTTTCCTTTAATCTTATCATTAGTAGCAACAGGTCATTTTTAATATTAACTAAGTTTGATTTTTAAAATTATAGCAAGCTTGTTTTGTCCTTTATAAAATTTTCTACTCTTAGGAGTTGTGTCATGAGGGAATATACATCATTATTTTAAAGTAATAGCATAAGATCATAAGGGAATACAGATCTAACAGTTCATGACAATACAATTTTGACAGCCAAATGATAGAATCACAAATAGGAGAGAGGATCAGATTTTTATCCTTATCCTTACACTAGTGTCCCACCCGTAGCTCTTTAGTTCTTGATGCTCTTCATTTTGTGGACAGCCTTATAGCCTACATTTTAGGACATGTACACATTTACCTATATTTTAAATGGCTTACTCACTTGTAAATTAGTGAAAATTCAGAAATAAATAATCTCTTTTTTTACTTATGACCTTTTCTCTTTTAATAATAAATAGTGTATAAGATTACAAATAGTAATTTTATGGTACTATAGCTCTCTCTTTTTCTTTTCCTTTCTTTTTTTATGATGCTTGGGTTTGAACCTAGTGCTTCATGCATGCAAGTCATTGAGCTACATTCCCAGCCAATATATCTTTTCTTATCTTTAAAGACAGCTAAGCATCACTTTTTTGTTGTTTGCTTGTTTTTATCTTGGGTTGGGTTGGGTTTTGGTTTTGGTTTTGGTTTTGGCTTTTTGTGTGTGTGCGTGTGCATGAGTGTATGCACACATGTGCTGGAGATTGATTCTAGGACCTTGCACATGATAAGCACACACTGCTCCACCGAACTTCACCCGTAGCTCATCCAAATATTTATTTTACAGATGGCTACATGGATTTAAAAATTAGATGAATTAAAGCAAACATTAAGGTCTTTATTTTCTCTTATGTTAGTACTAAAGTGACAACATTTTCTTTTCCTCCTAAAATTTAGTAATTTAGGTAGAAACATCTCTTTGCTTAAAGCAGTAGACAAAATTTTTTTTTCAGCTAAAGGTTCAGGAAGAAATATATAACTGCTTACTTTCACAACTTTGAGTTTTTAAGGTAAAATAACACCTTATGTAAAAATAATATTACTTTCTATAGATCCATTGGCTATTAAAACGTGTTAAAATTCTTTGTTAATACCATTGTCTAGTAATTCTTTTTTCTTTATTCTACAGATCATATGACTGTTGTGTTTTTAAATTATTAACCTTTGGTTTTATTTAATTAATATATTGCAATTTTATTTAATTAATATATCAGAAAGCTACATTAAATACTATGTTAAACATTTTATTTCCTTTCTGAATATAATCTAAAGAATTATCTAGTGCTTATATGATTCAAATCTATAAATGTTTTTTCAATAAAAGAACCGTTCCCTCTTCTGTCATATTCTTTTTAAATATATGTATTACATATAATACCACTAAGATCCACTTTTTATTTTTACTAGATAACCTGCAAATAGCTATCTTTAAAGGTGAAAGCTAACATTATGTCATCTGGGATTTTAGTAACGACTGCACAGAATCAGGATAAAGAATTAGTAATAAAATTTTATTGCTTTTATTCTGGTATACTTATATTTGAATTTTTCAGTAAAATAAAATAAAGCTAAAACAAATTGTATATTATAAAAGAAAAACAGGAACAAATCTCAAAAATGCCCTTAATGCTTTGTAGTATTAAACTCTATGTAGAGGGAAATAATCAAATGCCATAATATTGAGTAAGTTCAGTTTTGAAAATAGCATTTCTAATGGGCTGTTTTCAATTAAATGAAGCAGAACTGATTTTTAATTAATTGGGGAAGTCATGTCCAGTGATTGTGTTTACCTTTTTTTAAGTGAACCACAATGATGTATTTTAAAAACTTAACTTCGGACAAAATGGACTTTGCTGTAACATTTCTCTTTGCCTTTAATGCATTACTTTAACTTCTGTTGTGTTTTTGAATTCCAGATTGCTCTGGGAACAGTCACTAATGTGGAAGAAGCAGTGAAGTGGATCAGCTACACTTACCTTTACGTACGGATGAGAGCAAATCCATTAGTATATGGCATCAGTCACAAAGCCTATCAGGTAGAAAACTCATTTATTAAAAAACAACTAAAACCATTTTGGGGGTTTTGTAATCGTTTCATGATGTAAAGATAAATATTTGCTTTTGTCACCTTACATGAAAAAAGTTAGGGACCTGGAAACGAAATAAAGAGTTTTAATCTTTTTTAGAAAACACTAAGGACAACTAAATTGCCCCCCAGTAATTTTTTTGTTTTATATAAGTCTCTTTTCCCACTGATACTAATAAGTTAGTATTTATATTATTATTAAGTTATTTTTCAGGCCTATTTCCATTTCATGTAATTTTTATAAGTATGATGAGTTTAGTTTGGGAATAAACCAGACATGAAGAAACTTATAGACAATTTTTGATAATAGACTATGCAATATGTGATCTATTAGTTTTATGAAGTCCCTCTGTCTCTTATTCTGAAAATGAGCAAAGGCATTAATGACTTATTAGCTTAACAGTTTGGTGGCTGGGATCAGTTTCACAACTGAGTTCATATGCATAACCTGAGAATTAGATACACATGGTAGCAGCTCTTCCTGTGAACTTACAGTTGTGTGGTCCATGTGGCTTACAGATTCTATACAATCTTGTCTTTAGAACTCTGCTTATATATTGTAAATGCTTCCTAATTACAGGCAAAATCCAGTTGTGGTCTAATGAAAACAATATTTCACCATCATCATATGAATTTTCACTTTGTCCAGTCAAAATTATTAAAAAGGTTGAATTTAATTCAATTATACTTCTTTTCCATTTGCTGATAGCTTATTTTTGATATTTCTCATAGTATTATCAAAGCAATTACCGATCATTTTGGGTTTCTCTTGCATTTTTCGTTTTCCTATACAGTAGATTTTACCATGAAAAAAAAAATGAAACTTAAGGCTTACTTAAGAAAAGTAAGAACAGCAACAGCAATTAGTTCTGAGGTTGGTAATCTGAAAACATTGGACTTTCACACTCAGTTTTTCCCTAAATAGGGCTCAAATGTCTTTCTTCTCAGTTGAAATATGTGCTGATCTTCAAATGGATGCCTTATTTTACAGCCAAATGGAACTTTTATAACATATAGGTTCATTGCAACCTCTGACCTTACACATTTTAAACACGACACTGATTGTTCTCATTACAAATATGGGCACTGTGAGAATACCCTGGATGGGTAAAGAAAAACAAAGCAGCACAGCACATATTTTCATGGGATAAGTCATTGCATATCTTGGAATAAAATAACATATCATTGTGGTTTTAAAGTACTAGGTTAATATAAGAAGTCATTGCTATGTAGCTGTTCAGTATAAGGAAAAAATGTGTATTTTTCCAGTATAAAGTAAGGGGTTTTTTTCATTCTAGTATACACAGTTTTGCTACCTTCAAAGGTTGTAAATGTTTTATTTATTTGTTTGTTTATTCTTTTTGAGACAGGATCTTACTATGTACCTAACCCAGGCTGGTCTTGAACTGGCAATCCTCCTGCCTCAGTCTACCAAGTGCAGGGATTTCAGGCATGTACTACCACACTTAGGTAACCTTTTGTAAAAAGGTTATAGTCACAAAATTCTTTTCTTTTTCACAAAATTCTTACAAATTAACACAGATCAAGTGGATTAACATATTTTAATGGTTTTGTAGCATGTAATTAATAAAGTGTTTTTAAAAACTGAACCTGATACTTGCAGTATATCACTTACAGCAAATACTTGTGTTTATATTTGCTGACAGGACTGTTGAACCCATCTTACTTACCTGCAGCTGATTTTCCTGTGCCTCATTTTTCTGATTTTTTAAATTTACTTTAGCTTTCATAAAGATCTAAATTAAAATAAATGGTAGCACTTACCTCATAGGATTTCCAAAGTAGTTTTACATTTCATCCACTCCCTGTGAAAGGACCTGTTTTACTTTACTGTTCATAACCAGAGAATAGTATTTAATACTTGGCATGTGTTTGTGTTCACTTTGGGAGTACAAATGTGTACATAAATTTATTTATACACATGTCATAGCAACAAGAATATCTGTTGTACCTTACGATAAATATTGTAATTTCTGCTTAGGAAAAGACTGTGATGTAAGTAATAGTTTCAAAATTATACAAAAATTTATCATCAAGTTCATTTTACTTTATGCTTCTATTATTATTGTGGGCAAAATGGGTGTTCTCATCAGCAGTTATGAAAGTGCTAGCCCAGTAAAACTACACTTTCATAAGGATCACTGCATTTATTTTTATGTATCTTAATAGGGGAATGCATTCTTGCCATCATTTCTCCAAACAACTCATAAAATAAGAATATGATTTGATAATGTTAAAGTCTTCATTTTAGTGTGGGAAAGAGAAGGTAATTTTTTCTTCTATGTAGTTCCAATATTTATAATCTAAAATATTATAAATCTATGTAAATTTTTAGATTCTAAAATATTTTCTTTGTGTCTTCTGTAGCAGTTAAAAAAATAAATTTAAGAGAAAGTCTAACTAGAAGTCCTTATTCCTGTTTTCTGCATGGGGGCAGGAAATGTTTCTCCTTTTTTTCCATTTCTCCCCATTTTTATCCTGTTACACTAAATTTCCTCCCTAATAAATTTTACTATTATTTTTACTACAAAAAAGGAGAAAGTCTAACTAAAAATAATCAAGAAAAAATTTAATTCCCATGAATAGGTACATGTTTGCAAGTATGACTCTAAAGAATTCAAGTGTTTGTATTTCTTTCCTGTAGATTGACCCAACATTGAGAAAGCATCGAGAACAGTTAGTCATTGAAGTTGGACGAAAACTAGACAAAGCTCAGATGATTCGTTTTGAAGAACGAACTGGATATTTTTCCTCAACTGATCTGGGTAGAACTGCCAGTCACTACTACATTAAATACAACACCATTGAGGTACTATGCTGAGAGGATCAAGTGAAGCATGTTTGCTTTTAGATGCAAATGCTTTCTAGACTCCAAAAGATGTTAATGATGCAAAATAACAAAAGCAGCTAATATAACAAAATACATTCAATTGTATGAATTCAACAACATATGCTCAGCAAAATGAGACTTCAAATAGTAAGGGCCCGCTTGTCATCCTGTTTAGCAAATATATCCCACGAGTAGACATACCTATGCCTAAAACACCTGAAGCACATGGATTGATTTTTATGGGATAGAGATGCCTGAATAATTTTACATAGGAGATGATGTCTTAATAATATTTTTGAATAAAAAATTGAAAATTTAATTGCATGTTACTAAAATACACTGACTAAAGTGGAGTTAAAGTACTAAAATTATCAGGTCAACCAAGCTGTAGACAATGTAAGGAATTCTCAAAGGTAGTTTTGGTCACACAGTTGCAGCTTGGCTTGTTCCATTTATTTCTTTATTTATCTGTCTATCTACTTATGATGTGGTTTCTCTATGTAGCCTAGGCTGGTCTAGAACTCATAAGCTTAGTGGTCCTTGTGCCTCCGTCTCTCAAGGGCTGAGGCTTTAGGCAAGTACCACCATGCCTGTCTTACTTGTTACCTTGTAAAATGGTGCTGTGTAAGATGATGTGTCATGTGTGTTTATACACATCTGTCAATACATGGGAAAACATAACAGCGATCACCTGTGAAGAGAAGACTCAAATTTAAAGAAAGAAATGGGTTGAGGTGAATTTTTAACCTTTATTCTAAATGTAGTCAGCTCGTTTTTACTTTTTCATTTATTTTTATTTTGTGCTTAATTTTTTGAATGGGAAAACAAAAATCATTCACGTGAGGTTTCTTCAAAAATATAGAAACTGCAGCTCGTATGTAATATAGGTTTTGTAGGCTTGTTTTCAGAAAATACCTTCACGTGCTTACTATTTTTTTCCTATCTTTTCCAAAATAGCCCTCATATTTGCATAATCTGTCTTTTTTGTTTTAGTAACAATGTCTTATTTTTTTTCCTTTATTATTGTGCTGGGAGGGGTACATTGGGATACATTGTGGCATTTACAAAGGTTCTTACAATATATCAAATGTATCATACTTGGATTAAAAACCCCTTTACATGTGTTATTTTACAACTCTGATCTGGTGGTTCACAACCTGACACCCAGCACTTTACTCCTGCCATCAGCTACTGAGCATTTACTAATTTTCTGTATTACGTAACTCTTCAGCACATTGCTTCCAAACTACATGCTAAACCTGTTTGCAGTTCCTTTCCTTGAATGCTGTACCTTCTTCATTCTACATGGTCTTTGACTGATTTTATTTGCATCTAGTTTCATGGTTGTCTTCTATGCCCTAATATTGTGAGAATCTTCAGATTACATATTTTCTTGTTTTTTCTCTCTGAATCTTATGATATTTGATCAGTTAGAATTGCTGAATGGTGTTGATTTCTATATGCCCATGTTAAGACAAAGACCAAAATGTTATGATGAACATTTTTTAGGTATCTAATGTAGCTTCCAATTAATTATCTTTTTTGCTTCTAAAGATTTTCCTTAACTATGTTTTAGGAGTGTTTTTTATCCTTTACTAAATTTGATGATGCTTAAAAGCAAAGATTTGGATACTGTGTACCACATACATAACTACATTGCCTAGGATTCCAGTGTTCTCTAAAGATGTCTGATAACATTTATAATTTAAAATATTTGTTGCACTTTGAATTTTAATGAAATATAACGCTTACTTTGGTAGACCTTTAATCAACTCTTCGATGCTCACAAGACAGAAGGTGATATCTTTGCTATAGTCTCCAAAGCTGAAGAATTTGATCAAATTAAGGTAAGATTATTTAAAGTGTGAATCAAATGTGTACAGCACAGATACACTCCCTCATTTATAAGAGCTTTTTAATTAAGTTTTATTCCTGATACACTGTAAGCTAAATGGCACATTATGTTTGGAGTATCAGCAATGTTCTTCCATTTATCAAAAGTAATCAGTATCCTAGAATGTACTGTCATTCATGACAGCATTCTGTGCTTTTATCCCAAATCAATAATTTATGTAAGTTTTGCAATAGTGAAACTACTGAATAACGTAGTGTGTACATTTTGGTTTATTTGCAATATAAAGTTCACTGAAGAAAATATAAAATACTGTGATTCAAGCTTAGATAGGAATATTTTTATACATCAGGACTTATTAACAGTGAAAGCTTTAATACTTTGAAACAGTATTTCATAGCTGTAAGCAATGAATGTGTTATGCTATATAAAAATATATGACTGTAATGAATGCATTTGAAGATAATCAAGTTTGCCCTAATCCATTTGGGAAGAAGTTTTTACTGTGGTCAAATAAAACATGAAATCTCATCAATTGAAGGATGGTGAGGTCAAAGATTTAATTTTTGTAGCATATCAAATTTGTGTATGTCAATGGCAACTTTAATATTGGTGATGACTAAAAATGTAATTGTATCAACCTCAAGATAGTTTCATCTTGTAGTTATAAAATACTACTGATGGGGAAATTTCTAATTTTTTGCTATAAAAAGTAACTCTTGTTTCATCCTAAATGAAAATGTATGTTAAAACAATGTGGTTTAATTTCAATATGAAATTTTTCAATAAATCATCCCCAAATACTACTGTGAAAACATTGTCTTTTTTTAGGTTAGAGAAGAGGAAATAGAGGAGTTAGATGCCTTATTAAACAATTTCTGTGAACTGTCAGCACCTGGAGGTGTAGAAAATAGTTACGGGAAAATAAACATCTTACTTCAAACTTACATCAGCCGAGGAGAGATGGACAGTTTCTCCCTCATATCGGATTCTGCATATGTTGCACAGGTGAGAATTTTATTTCCCTCCAATTTTCACATCTTTGCTTATCTGTAGAGACTAAGGAATTAATTCATGTTACACTGTCAATTTATTGCTTTGTGAGATGCTACCAAACTACCATTTTTTTCCTAGAACTGGAATTGTTCATTTTTATATCTCTTATGCAGTCTCTGTTCATAAATCAGGATTGTGTATTGGTTTGGCTTATAACAAATTTACCATTTAATAAGGATTAATAAATATACATCCCATACTATATGGTCAATATGATGGGTTTAAAGAAGATTTAAAAATGTGATCTTCTCTTGCAGATTTGTAGAAGTTGAAGATTGAAAGAAAATTATTCCCTAAACTAGAGTTCATTAATTTAAAATTTTTTTTAAATGCTGTGGTATAAAGTGTAATTTTTATTTCTTTTATATTCAAACTTTCTTGTGAAGTACCTTTTTTTGCCTATTTATCTTTCAAGTTTAAAGGTCTGCTTTTTGGGAAAAGTTTTTTTTTAAATGTTTATTCTTTATCACAGAAGTATGCATTTCAATTATCTTTTATGAGTAATGCCTCCCTTAAGTAAAGCAAGATTAGTTTAATCTTACTTAGGTCATGTAACTATTCTATAACCTTAACTTTTAGTTTTGTTCAAAGACAATATAGAAAACTATGTTTGTGTTAAATAAATGATTATCAACAGCCAGAAATATTTAGGAGTGCTTTGAAATAGCTGAAAGCATAAATTGTTTACAAACATGAACTTTGATACAGTAGTAAACAACTTCAATGAATGTAGTAGTTTAATCAATGAAACCAAGAAACCACGTGATTATCTCACAAGTTATATAAAGGGAATGTAGATGTTCTCCAGACCCTATAGCTATCTAATTTTCTTTATCTGTTTTTTATTCTGAAAAGTGATATAATATTGTTGTTTTGTATTGAAATAGTTAATCATTTAAATGGAAGGCAAAGTTTTACTGGGTTCTGGATGAATAGTCTGACATTTCTACTTGATTCAAGATTATAAAGATAATATCAGACAGTAACATAAAAATTTACTTTACAGTATAAAACTTACATTTCCTGAGTGATAGTGCCCGGGAAGTCAACTTCCGATTAAGGATTTATCTCAAAGTATCCCTGGTTTTTCTTAAATGGTTATTATGGATTTATCATCCTTGAATGCATTAGTTAAGTTATACTTGAATTTATTATATTTTAAGTTTGAGGTTTGAGTCATCAGAAGTTCCACAAGCACTTTCTCAGTTCTGAAGGAACTTTTATATTCCTTAAACTTTCTTCTCTTTTTTATCCAGTACAGTCACATTTTTCATTTTATGTATTTTTCATACACAGTTGGCTAAATCCACAGGTGTGGAACTGGATTACAGAGGGCTAACTGTATTATCAAATGCAAGGAAAATGAGATGAATTTCCTAACCCTTTATTTCACTTCCATGGCCTGGCCTGATTTGATCCTGCCTAGTCCACTCCCCAGCACTGTTTGGAGCCACTTTGAGCCCCTCTCATCCTCCCCTTACTTTAATCTTCTCTTACTTTCTGTTTTGTTGTTGTTGTTGTTTTTGTTGTGCTGGGGGTAAATTGTGACATTTACAAAATTTTTTACAATATATCAAATATATTATTGCTGAATTCACCCCCTCCATCATTCTCCTTTATTCCTCCTAGAATAGTTTCAACAGGTCTCATTTTCCATTTACATACATGTATGTCCAATATTTGTACCATATTCTCCCTCCTATATCCTTTCCCCACATCCTCCCCACTCCCAGGGGTACCAATCCCCCAGAGAGGTCCAATTCTTCCCTCCTGTTCTCTTACTTTGTTTTTTAAAACATGATATTTTTGTTTGTTTAAGGTAGCTGTACAGGGAATTTCCTTAAGACATTTCACTGTATATATGTATTATAACCTGAATTGGTTCATCTCATCTGTTTTTCTCCTTTCGTCCATAGTCCCTTTCTTATGATGATTTCAACAGGTTTCAAAATTCTATATTCATTCTTGAGTAGGATGTACATCAACCATATTCATCTTCTTAACTTTCTTCTTTTATCCTCCTCCCCTCATATGTAACTTCCTCATAGTGTGACCTGTTTTTCATAATATTGTTTGTATTTGTATTAGGTCTGTATTCCACATATGAGAGAAAATATGTGACCTTTAGCTTTTAACTTAAGATGATGTTCTCCAGTTCCATCCATTTACTGCAAGTAACAAATTTTCATTCTTTATGGAGGAATAAAATTCTATTGTATATAAATACATTTTCTTTGTATAAATTCAAGTCCGTTCATCAGTAGTGGGCATCTTGACTGTTTCCATAGCTTAGCTATTGTGAATAAACATGGGTATGCAGGTGACACTGTTGTAACCTGACTTACGTTTTTCGGATATATCCCTAGGAGTGATGTTGCTGAATCATATGGCAGTTCTATTTTTAGTTTTTTGAGGAGCCTCCATACTGTTTTCCATAGTGGATGTACTAATTTACATTCTCACCAGCAGTGTATGAGGGTTCCTTTTAGGTATAATACCATGTCATCTGCAAATAGGGATAGTTTGATTTCTTCCTTTCCTATTTGTGTTTCTTGTATTTCTTCTTCCTGTCTTGTTGCCCTGTCTAGGAATTCCAAGACTATGTTGAATTACGAGTGGAGAAAGTGGACACCCTTCTTTTGTTCCTGACTTTAGAGGAAATGTTTTCAGTTTTACCCCATTTAGCATGATGTTGGTTGTAGGCATGTCCAAGTCTAACCTTTATCATGTTGAGGAACATTCTTTCTATTCCTAGTTTCATCAGAGCTTTTATCATGAAAGGATGTTCAACTTTGTCCAAGGCTTTTTCTCTATCTGTTGAGATGATCTTGTGGTTTTTGTCTTTGCTTCTGTTAATATGCTATATTACATTTAATGACTTATATATGTTGAACCATCTCTGCATCTTTGGTATGAAACTGACTTGATTGTGGTGTATGATCTTTTTGATATGCTGTTAAATTCAGTTTGCCATTATGTTTTTGAGGATTTTTACATCTGAGTTCATTAAAGAGATTGGCCTGTATTTTTTTTTTTTTTTGGTCCAGTTTTGGGATGAGTGTAATTCTGGCTTCATAGAATGATTTAAAGTTTTCTCTCTTAGAACCTAAAATAAACCCTTAGCTCAGCTGTTCCAGGATTTTATTTAAAAGCCTATGATTAGTCTCCCTAAACTGTACATGTTATAAACTTTGCTCGTTATTACCACCATTTTATATCATTCCTGATTAAAATGTTCTGTTGCATCTTGCCACATAGACTTTCTCCTTCCACTTCTGTTAGCATTCGGGGAACGTATATAGGTTCTAAAATATAAAAATAATATACTTTCACAATAATTGGGTAAATTAACCTGACAGGCCTTCTTTTTTTTTACAAGAATAATTCGGAATGGTATAGAAAAACCTACATAATGTGGAATAAACTATGTTTGATAGTTACATTAGTCAAAATTTCCATTTTATTTATCATCCTCTGAACCTTAATAAGACTTATTTCAGTCATTCCTAATGAGTATCAAACTTCAAATGCCATTTTTTAAGCTTCTAATAATGAAAAAAAAGATAGAACTTGTCAAAAGACATGCACATTTTCTATAAAGTATAAAACCAAAGCCGTTAACGCTTCTGGTCATTTTTTACCTCAGAATTTTAGGTTGAGTTCTATTGTTTTGAAATCTTTTCTGTTTTTCATCTCTTATTTGTTATCTGGATTTAACCTTCTTCATTTTCAAATACAGAAATCATTAGATATTGGAAAATATCTCCAAGTTTATGGTTATAAAAACAATCTTCAATAAAACAATCTGCAAAGTTAATGATGAAGGGTAGGAGGCAAAGCAAATGGGAACTGGCTGTGGAGACTTTTTTAAAGGTTTCATTTATTTTAACTCCCTATATGTTGATTAACAAAATTATCCTCAGACCACTGAGTTTAGAATCTTATTGTTAAGTTTGAAGCCATTTGGACCTAGCATTGAATAAATGCTCTGACATTAAACAGAGGTAGAACCTTGTTCAAATTTTTAAGCTCTCCAACCCTTAATATTCTTTCCTATAAAATCATGATATCAGTACCAGTCAAATGCAGTTGTTGTGAAAATAAACTAAGATACCATATGTAAAACTAGTAACATTGCTTGATTTATAGAGAGCCATAGATATGGGTAGCTGCACTCATCAGTATGTTCTTTGACACTCTTCACTTATTAATAGGTCTTCTAGCTGGATCCCAGAGCCCCTCTTAATTCTACTCTAAATGCTCATATAGACTTAACTCATTTCATTATATACACAGAGGCATCTTCATCTGTTTCTTACACTCTAGGCTCTTCAACAGTCTACTAGATACTTTGCATGCCTTTTGTCTCTTCCTACTTTTTTACTTTTTAGAGGGTGTCAGGATCAAACTTTCTAAGAATTTGGAAATAGGCCTACCCTCTGAGAATTTAGCAAGTGGTATCCACATACAAATAATGGGATTATTTTATGATAATTAAAGTTAAAGAAGATTATATAAAAAAATTGTTGCTCCACAATTCAGAGATGCAGCTTGACTTGCCCTTTTTTTGAGTTGAGTTTGAATAGTAAGTTTAGGGACATTTAAAAGTACATTTGTTCTCCCTACCAATCCTCTTCTTTTGTTCTTCAGAATGCAGCTAGAATTGTCCGTGCTCTTTTTGAAATTGCTCTGAGGAAGCGTTGGCCTACCATGACCTACAGGCTCCTGAATCTTAGTAAAGTCATTGACAAGAGACTCTGGGGTTGGGCTAGCCCTTTGAGACAATTTTCAGTATTACCACCACACATTCTAACAAGATTAGAAGAAAAAAACCTTACTGTGGATAAGCTGAAAGATATGAGGAAAGATGAAATAGGTAAGAAGGCAGTAAAAATATTTCAATGTATTTACTTGTGCAAATAATATGTTTTACTAGATATAGAAGTATTGAGAATGCTCAAGATAAATTTTTACTATATTTATGAAATCTTTTTTATCTATCTAAACTCAATCCAAAGTCACTCCAAATTTTAAGAAGTCACTGAATTTAATCAGCAACTAAAATGGAGAGCAGTGGAGGGAGTGAATTCAAGTATGATATATTTGATACATTGTAAGAAACTTTGTAAATGCTACAATGTACTCCCATCAAGCACAACAATAAAAATAAATAAAATGGAGTTTATATTGAGTGTTATCATAAATGATGAGACACTCAGTAGTGTTTATTTTCAATTTAATTTATTTCAATTGCATAGTGTTTTTTTTTTTTTTGTGAAATGATACCTATTGAAACTATTCCAGGAATGGGGGAAGGAGGGATAAAGGAGACCAGTGGAAGGGTGAATTCAAGTATGATACACTTGAGACATTGTAAGAACTTTTGTAAATGCCACGATATACCCCCATCCAGCACAACAATAAAAAGAAGTCAAGAAGTCTTTATGTACATCAGCAATATTATAGTAAAAAATTATATAAACTTTAATCTTCACATTTTACCAGTTTCTAAATGAATTTAATTACATATGTAACATGTTTAAGCCAGTTGGTATCAGTATGTACATAGTGTTTGGTGTTGTGCTTTTTTCATGTAAATGTATATAGTTATTCCTATATACATTTCCATGAAACCTGATATTTTACTGGACAAATGTGTAATGCATTGATTAGTTACTACTTCATTTCTGAATAAAATAGACATTACGCTCGAAGGGAGTGAGGCTAAAGACAAAGAGGGAGAATCACTACTGGAAAGAGTTCTAAAAATGTCAAGGGATGCTGAGATAGTTATTTTGTGAAGGAAGAATAATATTTCTTCTAAGATTGAATGGAAAAAAGATATCTATAGAACAAAATTAGGATTATTAACAAGGGAAGTTGAGAATAGTTATATTGGGGTAACACGTAAATATTTTATCAAAATTTGGAAGATTAACCTTAATTTCAAATTTGGTTAAGTATAAAACATTTTGATTTATTAATTAGTGCTTTTTAAAAACCTTAATGTTGAAGAGTTTAGACATACAGGATATCTCATTACTATAAAATATAAGGAATTACTCCAATTTGTTTATTATAGTTAGTCACATTTGTTTTGTGAGAAACTCCCCCTTTGGTATTTCCATATATATCTATATTTCAGAATCTGATTATCTATGAAAATGTGTATAGTTAATTTTGTGCTAGATTGACCAGATTTTACCTTTTGTCTTTATGTTTTGTGGAAATACATCTGGATGAGCGAGAGGCATTTGACTACTGAAGCATTTCTCATCATAACTATAGAGTTCAGAAATAGACCCTGAATAAATTAATGTCTATTTTTATAACATGCTAAATATTTCTATAGTGTCATATACTAACTTGAAAAGACGTGATTCTGCTGGTATTTTAAACAATGTCAAGTCTCAGTAATTTTTAAAAACTTATTAATACTTAAAGAAACCTTGATACTGGTTTTGAGCTATGAATTGCTATTTGAAGTTAATTATTACAAAATATTCAAACATGCCTGGTCAAGAATGTCAGCTGTTCTATGATGCAAATCATAAAACAAGCAATAAAATCACCTTCTCTGAAAGCCCATTTACAAGTCAGATAATACTGCTTTTTTTCCTGTGCCTTGACACATTTTTTTCTATGTGATATTTTTCTATCAGGTCACATTTTGCATCATGTGAATATTGGACTGAAGGTCAAACAGTGTGTTCATCAGATTCCTTCTGTTACAATGGAAGCTTCCATTCAGCCCATTACACGGACTGTCCTCCGAGTAACACTCAGTGTCTACCCTGACTTTACTTGGAACGATCAGGTAGAAGTGAAAAATACCTCTGTCTGTTTTAAACTGAAATGGCTGTACTGCAGGTTCCATTACACCTCCTTAAGTCCTGTAGAAAAATCCTGTAAAGTGATATATATTGAAGAGTCATTTAAAGCATTATAGTGGTATTTACTCATTGTCAAGAGAAATGTGCCATATTAATAATCAACCAGTGAGATCCTTTCAGAGCATCTAGGGAAATTAAAAGTTCAACATTGAGCAATATTTTTGTGGATTCAACTATATAAGGACTATGCCACATTTGTTCTATATTTTATTTTCTCTATGTTACAATCATTTTTGCCATCTCTGCTTACTCTTTCATTTTAACTTACCAAAACTTTAGGAATTCTCTATGTTAAAAGAGCCATTTTTAAATCCTGGTGACTCTCAAGCTACTGTTTTTCTCCTTTTCTTAAACATTAGGCATGTTAGGGAAGTATTCTCCATTGTCTTTCTTGTCACCAGAGACTACTTCCTTAGTGATTTTCAAAAACAGACTGACTGGCATTATGTGTAGATTTTTCTATTGTTTTCTTTACTTCTGTGAACATTTAGCACTGTATACACAGTTCTTCTTCAAAAATGTCCTTCCTCAGTTCCATCGCTTATCAATTACTATTCTTATTCCTTCTGTATTTTCTTCTTCAGTACATTAGATGTAATTATATTAAAACATAATAGTAAACACATGTAAAGATCTGGATCCTCTTATTCAGGCAGTATTGTTTAAGATCTGTCATTTCATCATTTACTGTGTTAGAACTGTATATGCAAAGGCAAGTAACACTCAGTCCTTGTTTTCAGGAAGCCAGTGGAGGAAGATAAGTAAGTCAGTAATTGATAACTGTTTTGTAGTTATTCTAAGATTCTAGTTGAATGTAGGTGAATGAATTTTGTTTAACTGTGTGCTCTGAAATCAGCCCTAGTCCCAATCCAGCTTTTTTCCATTGGCCTTAAAGTGTCCAGACATTTAATTCCTAGAATTCCCTCATATCTTAACATATATAAGGTTTATTTTTCTCATAGAATTTCTGTGAGGGCTAGATGATGACACAAAATTACAGTTAATACCTGTTTTTAAAAGGTATGGAAGTTCTATATTTTTCCACACTGTTTTCTTCTAATGTCTATAATAAATCTCCCAAATGAGTTTAATTCATTAGTGAAAGAGAGTACTTAATTATTTTAAAATTCACTCTGTAAGGCAAAATGCTGTTGGCTTCGAGAATGGAAAGCTTGCCTCAACCAGGCGTTAGCAGGATAATGTTCTATCTTGTGCAATACAAGGCCCATAGTTAGAACAGGCCAGAAAGATGGCTCAGTCTTCTGATTAATGATGTTATCCAAGGCCCAGGATTTTCCCATCTCTTTGCTCTGCTAATACTGTTGAGTGCTTCACAATGTTTTTTTCACATTAAACTGAGCAACGGAATTGCTTCCCCTGCTTCCTTAGCTCAGAGCATATACTATAAGCCCTGTTTTTTAATCTATTATTTGTTATGGGCTTCTCCTTTACTACATAGTCGTTGTCAGGAGAATGCCAGGGGTAGATTAGCTTGTGGGAATCAAAATTATCCCAGGGAATGTGTCACCTTTTTCTAAGTCACATGAGGGAGAAATGAATACTAAATAAGATTGAACCTTGTAAGGAAAAAGAAAAAGATTGGAATGAATAAACAAAATATGGTATATCTATCCAGTATAATATTTGTAAAAAGAAACAAAGTACTGATGCATGCCAAAATGTGGATGAAGATGAACTATGAAAATATAATGGTAAGTTAAAGAAGCCAATCATAAAAGACCAAAGATTACATGAGTCAGTGTTTGTGAAATGTCCAGAATAGGCAATTCTGTGGTAAATAGGTAGTTACTGCTAATGAGTATAAGTTTTCTTTGGGGAATGATGAAGATATTCTAAAACTAGATTATTGTTGCAGAGATTTATAAATATGTTAAAGTGTTATTGTTATGTTTTTGTTGTTTTAAGTAATTTATACTTTAAATGAGTAAATTTTGCTTTATAAATTATATGTAATGAAGTTGTTAAAGAGAAAGAGACAGAACAAAATACTTGGTCAGTTCTTCCTCACTGTACAAAAACCCCTTTGTGTATATGCTAATAGAACTTGTCAATGTCATCAAAAACAAGAGCAACCTGAGCAACTGGGGCAGCTAAGAGGAGCCATAGGGAACATGATGACCAAATGTAATGTGATATCCTAAATGGTTCATGGACCAGTAACATTACATGAAGTAAAAACCAAAGAAGTCTGGACTAAGTATGGATAGTAATTAATAATGTATGAGTATTGTTTTTTAGTTGTAGCAAATGTGCTGTACAAATTCAAGATGTCAGTAGTAGGGCAAACAATGTGTGGAGTATTTGGGAACTCGCTGTACTCTCTTCTCTATTCTATAAATAAATCTAAAGTTGTTCTAAAAAATAAAGTATATTATAAGTACTGTGTCCATCAAAAAAGTGTGGGAGGGGGAGTAGAGAAAGAGAGAAAGAAAGAAATGCTGAATATGTAAATAACACTATCTCTTGAGTTATATTCACAGTACTATGATACTACTCTTCTACCAGGTCCATGGAACAGTAGGAGAACCCTGGTGGATTTGGGTTGAAGACCCTACAAATGATCATATTTATCATTCAGAGTATTTTCTAGCTCTTAAAAAACAGGTAAATGTGTATGTGTGGTACATCATAATTATTTTGCTATCATCAAAAGAAACTAACTATATATATATAATCAATATAAACTAACAATTTCTGGTTTTTAGTTTATTTCTCTGTGATATTGTACTACTCAAGCTTTATTTATTATGTTTTATGCTTCTGTTTGGTTTTAAAATTAAAAAAAAAACAGTGATTAAATATTGCAGGATTGATAACTCAAAGTGATCATAGTTTAAGAAATTCAATTGTAATCTTTACCATGGTTTAAGGCACGGTTTCCAGGAGTACAGAATAGGTAAAACAGGTTAGGTAAATAATAATTTTTATGCATACAGTTCTAAGGAGTATTGATGTGAAAATTCTCTTCAAATCACAAGAGAAAGATTAAATTTGTTGCTACTTTGATGCTTCCAATTATACTTTCACTTTTTTACCAAAGAGAAAAGAAGCTCCAGACTGAAAGTCTTGGTTTGGTAGCAGCAGAATTTCCAGTAATATTTTGTTTGTATTGCATTTGTCTTAATGATAACCTTCTATTTATTCCTAGTGATTCTGGTACTCCACTTAAGGTACTATGGGAAAAATATTTGAAAATAAAAATAATTGAATAATATTGTAGAAATCATGAAGTTTAATAAATGAATGAATGAAGTTTGGGAAATTCTAATAATGAATCCAATTGGTAATCTGTTAATACATGTTGAGATACATATATATGGATATATAAGTATGTATATATGTATATTATACATATAATAGAAACTTAACCTTTTATATCAGGTACCCTGAGAAGGGCACTACCCACAAGTTTCTGAAGATCCTGAATATCTCAGCTACATAGAAATCCAAGATACTTTGTTTTTAATAGATCTTGCATAGATACTACTGTCTTAACCATAGACTACCAAGACCTTTGTAGCAGAATACCCATATTTATTTTAGACTTTATTTCACATTAGGTTCTTAGTAAAGAAGCTCAACTACTGGTGTTTACAATCCCTATATTTGAGCCTTTGCCTTCCCAATACTACATCCGAGCAGTGTCTGATAGATGGTTAGGAGCTGAGGCTGTTTGCATTATCAACTTTCAACATCTGATTTTACCAGAGAGACATCCTCCCCATACAGGTAATTGCTAATTTGAATCATTGACTTACATAAATTGCTGTTTTAATTAATGCTGAAACATGTTTATGCTTCAGAAGTATTGTATTGTGAACCAGAATCCAATTTATTTGCAGTATAGTTTGAAAAGAAACTTTTCAAAGACAAATTTACTTATGTGTACATCTTGTAGAGCTTAATTGGGGGCCTTAATTTTTGTCTGAGTTCCAAAACGTAAAACTCGGTTTAGACCAATTTAATAGTTTTTTTGTTGTTGTGCTAGGGTACTTTGTGGCATTTACAAGAGTTCTTACACTATATCAAATTTAATACTTTCAACAAGAACGAGATTCATCTTTTCTCTATTGCTCTGCTTTCATCTGTTTTTACCTATAATCATAATTTCACTGTGTGTCCTCTGTTTTCAATGAAAGTGTTATTTATCATTTAATCTATGTTCTCTGTGACATGTTTAGGATATCCTTTTTTCCACATATTTATTCCAATTTACTAAGATATATTTCTTGGGTTTTTTTTAAGCTTTGAATTCATGACCTTCCACTTACTAAGCAAGCACTCTACCACTTGAGGCACCCCACCCCCACCCCAGCCCGACTTAAACAACTTCTAGTACAGGTTGAGTATCTCTTATCCAAAATACTAAGTATTTGGATTTCATATTTTCAGATTTTAGAATATTTACATATTTACATAAGATACCTTATTATAGGCATGGGCAAGAACAATTTTAAAACTTAGCTTTTTGACTTTTGTTTTCATTTTTGGAGAAGAGAATTCATCATACTTTCCATTTTGAAACCGTACTGAGAAGATTTTACTCAGAATACAGACCACTCTGTCCCCTTGCTGATTTTTTTTAATCTTCTCACTTAAACATCAAATGAATAGACATCTTTTATGCAGTAATCTTGAGAGTAATGGTACCATCTGTTGTTTCAACTAATAGCTTTCTGGGTTATACAAAAATAAAAGGTCTGTCAGATACTCAAGGGTATTTATCTGTAACTGTCATTTCACTTTTCTAGTTCCTTGGGTCTACAGTCCACATAATGAGAAACAACCAAATCTAGTTTCCTTCAAGGTTTTCTCAGGACAGATTTTATTTACTCAGCCATGTTCTACTTTAAAACTCTCACCCAAGTTTCTTCCTAGAATTAGCTGAAATTCATTTGTTTCCATTGGCTCTGACCACATGCTACTCTGTCTTGGTCAGCGTCCAAAAGTTCAAAAGTAATTTGTTGTTAGTAACCATTCCAGTATTAAAGTTTGCAAATTCATTTTTTACAAATTAAGGCAAATATAGTTTTCTTCTGCATGAATATTTTCATACACTTGTTATTCAAGTTACTTTCCTGACTAGAAGAGAAAAAAATTTAGTTGGTTTATGGGAGTTCCCCCCATAACAGAACAGTGTTGAGTATGTCAGTGTGGTAAATATCACAGGAAATAAAAAAGATGTATCACTGATGTGTAAGAAGTTGTGTTAATCATTTTCCCCTCTAAACAATTAAGGATTGTTACAGTTTATTCTTTAAAATACAGTATTCAGTATTATGCATGTTTTTCAGTAATTTTATTGCAGTACCCTGTTGAATCTTTTCAGAATTACTGGATCTTCAGCCTTTGCCAGTCACAGCATTGGGATGCAAAGCATATGAAGCCCTGTATAACTTCAGCCACTTTAACCCTGTGCAGACACAAATATTTCATACGCTGTATCACACAGACTGTAATGTTCTACTTGGAGCACCCACTGGATCAGGAAAGACTGTTGCAGCTGAACTAGCCATTTTCAGAGTCTTCAACAAGTACCCCACCTCAAAGGTCTGTCAAAGGAATCGTGTACTACATTCAAGTACAAAAAGCAATTCATAATCTTTAAACTAACCATTTCTAAACACACTGGCAGTACCCAATGTGTAGATTAGTTATTCTTTGAATGAATTTTCTCAAGGATCAGTCAGTATTAGCAAAATTTGTTTGTTGCAAACAATTTGCCTAACACTTTTGCACCTTCTAGTTAAATTTCTATGTATATAGTGTTGCTCATACATCCTTTCCTCATTATAAGAGATGTACAATTCTTCAGTAATTTAATTATGAGATACTTAAATCATAGCCATATTTGTTAACTATATGATAATTCATAATCAAATCCTTCAGATGTAGAGGAAATGCTCATACATGAAAGAACAAGTTTGATTATACACAGGAAATATAACCTTTTCTCTATATTTCTCCAAATGCTTATAATGACCTTGTTAATTAATAACATTGCAAGTCAAATCAGTATTGATTTTAATCTTTCTGTTTTGTTTTGCTATTTTTCTTTATTGATGGTACTGAGGCTTGAACTCAGGACTTCACACTTACAAAGCAGGTGCTCTACCACTTGTGCCACACATCCAATCCTGATTTTAAGCTTTCTTAAAACATTTTTTTGTAAAAATTTCCCCAGTATTGCTTTATTTTTAATAAAAGTTAGATACATTTAAGGTGTACAATATGATATTTTAATATACACATACATTATGAAGTGATTACTACAGTTAGAATAAAATATCTATAACTTCACATAGTCACTTTTTTCTGGTGGGAACACTTAATATCTGCTCTTAGTAATTTCAAGTGTATAACACAGTATTATTAACTATAATTACCCTGCTCTAATTAGATGTCTAGAATTATTTATTGTACATTAATGAAACTTTATACCTTTGACCAATATCTCACCGTTCTCCCACTCCCAGCTCTCATTATTATTTGTTTCTTTCCATGTCTGGATTATTTCACTTAGCATAATGTATGTCAATGCATATAACAGAGTTTCTTTTGTAAAGTTGAATAATATTCCATTCTTTACATGTTCCACTCTCATAATTTCTTTATCTTTTCATCCATCTTGAGGCACTCAGATTGTTTCCTTACTTTGGCTATTCTGAATAATAGTGCGGTGCACACGGGAGTGATCATATCAGATGCTGATCTCATTTCTTTGGGATATGTAACCAGGAATACTATTGCTGTATCATATGATTTTTTTTTAAGACTCTCCATGTGTTCTCCATAGTGGCAGTATCAACTTACATTTCCACCAACAGCATATAACATTTCCCATCTTTGCCACCCCTGTTTATTTTTTGTCATATTGACAGTTCACATCCTAACTAATATAAAATGATATCTCATTGTGCTTGTGACTTGCATTTCCTCCAGTGACTAGTGGTGCAGAGTGCCTTGTCATATATCCATTAGTCATCTGTAAGTCTTCTTGGGGAAGATGTCTCCTCACACCCATTTTTTTTTTTTTAATTGAACTATGTGGGGACTTTACTGTTGAGTTGTATTAGTTCCTTATATGTTTTGAATGTTAACCCTTTATCAGAGATATGATTTACAGACATTTTCTGCATTACATAGATTGTCTTTCCACTCTGATGATTGTTTCCTTTGCTGTGCAGAAGCTTTTTAGTTTGGGTATACCCCCAACTTGTTTACCTTTGCTTTTGCTTCCTGCGTTTTTGGTGTAATGTTCAAAAGTAGCATTGACAAGACCTTTGTAAAGAAGCTTTTTCCATGTTTGCTTCTAGGAATTTTATGGTCTCAGATCTTATGTAAGTCTTTAATCCATTTGAAGTTAATTTTTTATATGGCATAAGAAAAGGGTCCAGTTTCATTCTGTTGAATGTGGATGTTCAGTATCCTCAACACTATTTATTGAAGACTATCCTTCCCCCATTGTGTATTCTTAGAGTTCTTCTCAAACATTAGTTGACCAAATATGGATTGATTTCTGGACTTTATTCTGTTCCATTGGCCTACATGTCTTTTTTTTTTTATACCAGTGGCATACTGTTTTTATTTCTGTAGCTTTAGAATACAATTTGAAATCAGGAAAAGTAGCACCTCTAACTTTGTTCTTTCTCAAGATGGCTTGTTCCAGGTCCTTGTGGTTCTATATGAATTTTAGGATTTTTTTCTATATCTGTACAATTTTTCTTCTTGTACTTTGTTATTAGTATATAGAAATGCTATGAATATTTGTATGTTGATTTTATATTCTACAACTATTGAGCTTGCTTATTAGTTCTATTTTCAAATGTCTTTTGGGGCTTTCATGTTTTTAACTTCTGAGTGTACTTTATATTATTGCATTGGGAATTATGTGCTGTTTTCTTCATCACCTATGATTTCAAAAGTGCTCAAACTTCCTTTCGGTGTGAGTCCCAATTAGTGGCTTTCTTTCCTGCCCAATTTTAAGTTTTCCTACTTTCCAATCTATTGTGTGGTTATTGGCCCATTTAAAAAAAAATCATGTTAATGCAAAAGAAGAGCTCTACTCCATTTAGAGATTTTTTTGCAAATAAAATTTTTGGTGAATATTTGTATAGGTTTGGATTATTAATGACCAGTTTTAGAGGGTTTTTTTTTAAGTAGAATAGCTAAAATGTATGATATTTTTCAAAAATCTGCATTAAAATTTAAACAGCTAGTTTACTTCTCTTCGAAGTTAGTAAATTTTCTCATGAGTTGCCCACAGCTCAGGTAAATCTTGAACATCTAATAGGAAAGACTTATTTTTATCAGAACCATAATTTTCCTTTATATAATGTATTGTCTCATAATTTTTAATTATTCACATTATGTTATACATTACATCATACTACTGGAAAATACCTCTAGTGTTTTAAAAATATTTTAAATTTAATCTGTTAGTATGCTTCATGATAGAATATTTATGATGTTATTATATTACTGTCTTATTTGAATAAATATAATGTAATGGTATTTTCCCATTAATTTGAAATTGTAAGCATTTGGTATTACAAAAAATTCTAAACCACATTGTCCTAATATGACAAATTTTACATATTCTTATATTTGAAAACGATGTCAGCATTTTCCTGAGAAGCTCTTTGTCCATCTTCCCCTTTCCAGGCAGTGTACATCGCACCACTAAAAGCCCTTGTACGTGAAAGAATGGATGATTGGAAAGTTAGAATAGAAGAGAAACTTGGCAAAAAGTAAGTTCTTATTTTCATTAAAAAGATAATTTGTTTTCTGTCATATTTGAAATGCAGATTTAAAGAAAAGCAAAGACATGAGAGCAGAAGGAGTAGTAGTAAGAGATGGACCAGTGGGAAGGGGAAGGGATACATGAGAGGTTGACAGAAGGTGAATATGATTGGAGAACATAAAATGCATGTATGTAAAAAAAAAAGAGAGAAAGAAAATGCTGTATTGAAATCCATTATTTTGTACAATTATGAAAAAAATGTTTTGAATTGTTTAAATGAACCAACTTATAAGAGTATTTTCAATGATTTTCATAATTTTTAAAAGTTTGTAACTACTATTAAAATATCAATATACCCATTAAGATTGAAAATGAAATTCCTCTAATTACTTAATATGAATACTTTTACCTGACAAGGTAGCTTTTCAAAGTATTTTTATTCCAAAATAAAAATAAGTTGTATCTTTTTGTCTTTCATATTATTCAGAGTAACTTCCAGAAATCACTTAAAAGGCACTGTGCATGTAAATTATTTCTGAAAATAATACTGTCTTTACCAGATTAATATTTTAATATACCACAAGGCTGTTCATTACAATATTGCTTTTCTAGCAAAAGATTGCAGATAGCCTAAATAGTCAATAAAGCATCACCAATTAAAGTATGGTACATTCATATAGTGCAAAATTCTGTATCACTGTAGAAGAGTGAGCTCTTTACTGATGAACAAGCTCTGGATATAATGCAGAAAAAACTTGTAGGTAAATTGCCCCTATCCTATCTTTTTAAAACCAATAACAATATAAGCATATGGATACTTCAGAAAGACAATTGAGTGGCTGTAGAATAGGGATATTATGGGGATGTCTCATTATATATTGTTTGAACCATATGAATAGATTACATATTTGGTATAATATGTAAAAATCTTAAAAATCAATTAAAATAAGTAAATGCTTTGGAAACATTATATTTGGAGGAACCAGTCCTGTCTTTTTTTTTTCTGTTTTCTGATCTTAATGCAAATGTAGACACTGGTTAGTAGTTACTTAAAATTTGGAGTAAGGTCCTGATTTTCCTACATATTATTAAACTCTTCTAGAGATTTCTTTGCCCACTTTCTCACTATCAACTGAGACTTTCCCAGAAAGAGGTGGCACATAGTAGTTGCCCTGGTTTATCTTGTTTATGTCCCTGTATGTTTGTGTTTGCTTATATTATCTATGGAAAATTTCAATCTAAGAAAAGAAATGAAACTTAGGCATAATCTTACTCTTTATGAATGTCTCCTTTTGTCCTAGTAAGTTAACATTTTCCCTTATTAAAAAGATGTTTATTCAAAAAAGAAGTTTTTTTAAATACATGGAGAAGGACATAATGATGTATTCACCTTTATAAAATCCCCTAGGGCAGAGAGTATGTAAATGTAATCAAGGCAAATTTAGATCACAGTGATTAGAATTTATCTTTCATTTTACAGCAAGAAATCATCTCAGAATTCTTATGAAACATTTAATTTCAGAAGATTTTTAAAGGAAAAAGTAGTGTAAGCATTATAAAACTTAGTTCAAGAGACAGATATTTTTGCCTTTCTAAGATGATGAGTTACCTGAGAATGATTTTTATTTCCCTCTAGAGTTATTGAACTAACAGGGGATGTGACTCCTGATATGAAATCCATCGCCCAGGCTGACCTTATTGTTACTACACCAGAGAAGTGGGATGGTGTCAGTAGAAGCTGGCAAAACAGGAACTATGTTCAGCAAGTCACTATTCTCATCATAGATGAGATCCACTTGCTCGGTGGGAACCTCAACTTTCTTTTATTAATGCTGTTTTTAATTGACAAATAATTGTGTGTATTGGTGGGGGTGATGTTTTGATATGTATACAATATGTAATAATTATGCTAATTAACATCTGTCACCTCACAATTTTTCATAGTAAGACATTAGAAATTTACTCAGCAATTTTGAAATATGCAATTAACTATAGTCATCCTGCTTTATGTACCGTAGATCTCGGAGATTATTCCTTCTAACTGAAAATTATACTTTTGGTCAACATCTTCCTCTTCCCTGACCACTCCGTTCCACATGTCCCTATTCCTTTCTCACTCCATTTCACCCCAGCCTCTAGCAGCCTCCATTCTACAATTTACCTCTGTGAATTCTGACTTTTTTTTTAATTCCACATGTGAGATCATGCAGCATTTGTCTATCCATTTTTTACTTATTTCACTTAGCATAATTTCCTCCAGGTTCATCTATGTTGTTGCAAATGACAGGGTTTCATTCTTTTTAATTGCTTAATAGTATTTAATTCTATAGATACCACACTTTCTTTATCCATCCATCTGCTAACGAACACTTAGCTTGATCCCATTTCTTGGCTATTGTGGATGATGCTGGCTGGGTGGGTTTGGGAGTGCACATATCTCTTCTGCATGTCAATTTCAGTTTTTTTGGATATATGCCCAGAATTGGGATTGCTGGATCATATGGTAGTTTTGCTTTAGTGTTTTTGTTTGCTTTTTTCTTTTTTGAGGATCTATGATCTCTGACTTTATGAGTGCAGCAGCCACCATAAATTTGTTAAAGGATTTAAATTTATTATCCTTATTTCTTAGGTGAGGAAAGAGGTCCTGTTCTAGAAGTCATTGTATCTCGAACAAACTTCATCTCATCACATACAGAAAAGCCTGTTAGAATAGTTGGACTATCTACTGCATTAGCTAATGCTAGAGACCTTGCTGACTGGCTCAATATTAAGCAGGTATGTAGATGATTTTTAAATTTAAGTTTATAATGTTCTGAGGCCTCCTTAAATAGAAAAATTGATAATTGTTTCTCTTTCATATTTGCTGTAGATGGGCTTGTTCAATTTCCGGCCATCAGTGCGCCCTGTTCCTCTGGAAGTGCACATTCAGGGCTTCCCAGGTCAACATTATTGTCCTCGCATGGCTAGTATGAACAAACCTGCATTTCAGGGTGAGCTTCATATTCTTGGAATGAAATAGTAACCATCCTCTATGGTAGCTAGCCAATGTGTTCTAAGTGGTTTAGATTTCTTTGAAAGGACAACAGTGGTCTAACTTCTACAAATAATTTAAAACTTTCTATAGCAACTGTTAAGGAATATGTTAAATTATGTATTGAAAGTTAGAGATGTTTCATAATGATAAGTCATAAAATTATTTTATCATAAAATGATTTTAAAAATCTGAGTTTGTTTTGGGTTTTTTTTTTTTTTTTTTTTTTTTTTTTTTGTGTGTGTGTGTGTGGTGCTGGAAAGGCCTTGCACATGCTAGGCAGATGTTCAACCACTGATCTACATCCCCAGGCTCTCAAATAATTTTTAATATTGATCATTTAAAAGTGTTTTTATCATAATTAGTAGCTTAAATAAATGATAAATAAAAGCTAAAGTAAAAAGCAATCATGTACTCTTAATTTTTAGCAGAATCCATTGAACTTAGACATTTCCATACTTTTTGTGATACTTCAATTTTTGTGTTTTGATTTTCATTTTTCCTGTTCTAACAAATTAGGCAAATAGGAAAGATTTAAGAATAACACTCCTGTTTTATTGAAACCTGTTTTATCTATACTGCATAAGGAATATTTATTGTACCAATTAAAACTAACCTCCAAAATAAACCCTCTAATGTAAACTGCTGTTGATTGTGAGGTGACTTTTTAGCTGCTATAATTAGCCTTATGACAGAAGCAAAGTATTGATGGTGAACTAGAGACCAGTCTTGGCAGTTCAGATTATTTACACCTCTACAGAAGCATTGTACAAAATCACTAATGAACAATAAATCTGTTGGGAGCTGTTCAACCACACCTGTTCTCGCAGCAGCAAAAATCCATTAAATGTTGAGGTCTAAAAAGAGACAGATCCATTCATAATTGTATGTACAAATGATACCAATATTGCAATAAGATGTGTATTTTGAACATTGTTTCTAATATGATTTATAACAGATTTATCCTTTACATTCTGTAATATTCTGATAAATGTTAAAAGAGTGAAAATAAGAAATATGACTTTATTTTTCATAATGTGTTTTGTGGAAATTGTTCCTATCTGCTTAAAGAATGACTGTATGCATACCATTGATGGAAATGAAGCATTTTGTATTATATAAATCAAGAGTGAATAACTGAAATACTTGTACTTCTTAAGCTATGGTATCAGCACAGCTGCTATCTTTACCTGTAGTGATTACTATACCTATAGTGATTACTATATTTTTTGAGTTTAGACATATGCTTTTATCCTAGCTTTATTTTTCACTGTAAGGTGATAAATATAGCCAAGGTCATGTCAACATTTCCATTATAAACCTTATTTTTCAGCCCATAAAAATAAATTCTGCAGCTCACTTTCAAAAAAAATTACAAGCAAGTTGAACTTTTTCATATAAAAATTTGTAATATCTCTTACTGCTTTGGGAAAGCTATATAGACATAAATATAAATTCTACTTGTGACATATTAGCATTTTAACCAAAAGAAATTTCATTTCCAGTTAAGACAAATGATTTCTGTGACTAATTAATTTTTTAAAGATTTGATTTACACTATTTCCTTTAGTCTTATTACTCAGATCTAAAAGTACTCATCTCATCTCTGTGTTAACCACCCCTAAGTCATTTCTCAAATACAAAAAGAAAGGGAAAACATTCTCCTGATTCATCTCTTATCTGTGCATTGGTACACTCTCCTAAGTTTTCCATCTACTGTTAACAGGGCAAAAAGAATAGAAATTTTTTGTGGTCTTTCAGGGATACTTTTCATCACCTGCAGAACTTAACTAACTCTTCAGGTCCTCTGTAATTCACTGCTTAGGCAAGCAGACATACCTCAGAAACACAATTTAGGAATACACAATTCAATTTAAGATGTAGGAGCCACTTACAGCTCTTAATGAAGAGTCTCAAGCATATAAGTTTCTCCTTCTTTGACAACTCATCATAGAACTTGGAGCTGACATAAATGAATCTTCCCTGTCCTCTGTAATGTACTCCATAGGTAGGACCAGCAACCTCTCCTTTCCAATGGTCTGTCCAATATGCTATCAGATAGTTTAGTATCTAGAATAATACTAAATTTCATGACCACATCAAGAATTCACCTAAATCTTTTACACTATTTTTTATGTATCTGTTTGCTATCTTTTTTGTTTTGCTCTGTTTTGAGACAGTGTCTCATTATATAACCCAGGTTGGCCTTGAACTTAAAATCATCCTGCCTGAGCCTCTCAAGTGCTGGGATTACAGGCCATTATGTCCTACTTCCATTTGATATTTTAATGAAATTCATATTCTGATGTTAAGTGGCTTAACATTCCATTTCCCACAACTTTCACAGCAATTAGAAGTCATTCTCCAGCCAAACCCGTTTTGATTTTTGTCTCCTCAAGACGTCAAACTCGACTTACTGCTTTAGAATTGATAGCCTTTCTGGCTACTGAAGAAGATCCAAAGCAGTGGTTGAATATGGATGAAAGAGAGGTAACCAAACATGTTTTATTTTCTATTTCTTGTGATGTCACCTTACTTTTTATTGTGTCATAATGGAAATTAAACATTTAACTTTATATTTAGTCTTATTCTATAGTAAAAGTATAAACTACATAGATATATTAAAAAAACAATAGAGGAAATAGTAAACACGTAATGTTGCCACTATAATAATACAGCACTATTAATATTTAGGTGTATTTCCTTCCAGTATTTTCCCACTCAACATTGACTTTACATATTCATAGTTGTGATTTTTTTCCTTTTAAATCATCATGAATATTTTATATTCAGCCACGTTTTCATAATTTTTGAATGCTCTGTTCCCTTGAGGCACTTACAATCAATTTTATTAAATTAACTTTTAAAAAAAGATTTAACACAATCATTGTTAAAGTTTAGAAAACATTAATTGGTATACCAATAATTACAAACAACCATAAAAATTTTAAATAATTATAATATAATATCTATACTATTTTATTCCATTATGTAGTTATCTTGTGTGGGTTTTTTCTATAATTAAATAATTATATATCTTTATTACTTGCTTTTCTTCAGAATTATTTCCTCTAAGTTGAGTTGTAAAAATAAAATTAGTGGGTCATATAATGTGAACATTTTTACAGCTTTTCAATACACATTGCTAATTACTTTAAAAGTACTGTCCTAATTGATGTTATCACCATCAATGTATGAATTATAAATAGTATAAGAGAGTAACTGTTTTCCTCATTTATTATAATTTCTTGATATAGATAAAATACCATCTTGTTTTAATGTATGCCTTATTTTTTATGACCATTTTTCCATATATTTGTTTCCTAGTTGTTTACTTTTTGTTATCTCTTCACTTCCTTTGGTATTTTTCTGTTTTAGTACATTTATCTTAGATATTTGTTTAAAATATTTTAAGTGTACATGCAAAACTTTATGATACTGATTTCTTATGAAATCATTCACTGTGATCATTAATTTTGCTAGTTCATTGCTTGTCTTATATTATTATATCTTTTTACAAGTAGAAATGTTGTATTTCATATGATACAATCTAATGGTATGGCCCTTTAGAATTAACTAAGTTAATTACAGTTAGTCTAACTGAAGACTAACTACAGTTAGTCCATACTGTAGAGAGACATTCCTTTCTTATACTTTTCTCATTTTTAAAAATATTGTCCTAGCCAGAATTATGATGAAAAAAAATGAACTGAGTTACTCAATATAGCATTGTCATCTCTCCTACTTCACTCCTCATGTCCTCCTTTTGTGATCTCATGGAAGTTGAAGAACTGGGTTGATCAGCAACTGTCAAAAAAAAAAAAAAAGAAAGACAAAGAAAAATGTTCCAAACACACTACTAGCCAGCCTTGACAGTTTGCATTTTTCTCTTTCCAATTTGCATTATTCAAATGACTCCTTAAAGTAGAGTGAAAAATATTATTTTATCTGTTAGATGTCATCATTACTTTCTTATATGTATATACCAAAAGCTATTCAAGATAATAATTTAAGGTCAAAATAATTTTTTCAAGACTTCCTATCTCATGCTATTTAATTTGTATGCCTAAATAACCACCCTGTTCTATCTAAAACAGTATCAAAACTTGGGAGGGAATGCTAAAAAGAATAGATATATGTAATATTGATGACTCAGTTTGTGTGCACTATCTACCTAGGCTTTATTTTATTTCTCTTATGTTTTATATTTAAGAATGTTCCAAATGGACATTTCTCTTTGAAGTCAGCATACGCAATACATACCTACTGAGCACATTTTGGGGTGATTGTTCAAAGTATATAGACACTGTGCTTTTAGCACATATGTGACTCACATTAACTTCAAATGTGAACCTCATGTGTTCTTCTCTGCTATAGCAAACTTCTACTACTTTTGTATTTTGATGATACAAGACCTAAAGAACTCTAAGTAGTCCAGCTATTGCATGCAATTACTTCTCTGCATTTTTTATCAGCACTAAAATTTTTCATGAAGCTACAGTTCACCTAGTGTATCTCAAGAATCAGGCAAGCCGAGATTTGTTTTATTACTGCTTCTAGAAACAATCACCTTTAAAATAAAAATTTCAGAGTTTGCAATGGATTACTTTGTGAATTCAATGTGATTTTTATCTATACCAACTGTGAAGCAAATAATCAACTTCAAATAGGTGTTTTAGCTTTTTAATCTTTGTGTAGGTTATTTGCCGTAATGTTCTGGGATGGAATCTATTAACTTCTCCTGTTGGCATTCCTTATACAGTATTAGTTTGATGTTTTGTTGCAGAACATGAATAACTTGAATTAGTACTCAGTATTGACAACTTGAGCATTCCAGGGAGACTGGGTAGCACTAGTAGTAGTTTTCATGGTAACTGTGGAGCAGTATATATCTGGCACAAGACAGCATCCAAATCGTTCTGCAATTGAATGCCCTTAAATCAAGGGCTGTTTGTAGATATTTGGGGAGAAAGGAAAGTGAGAGAAAAGGAAGTGAATCAGAGAATATGACTAAGATGAATTTATATGCTCTAGTTCTTTTTAAAGGCAAAAAGACTTATTTATCTCTTTTCTTAGTCCAATATTGTCCCCAAATAAAGTGTTAGGAAGCAAAAAGACACCTTCCAGTATATCATTGCAATAAAATCATACTGCATCAAGAAACCCCAAAGTAATACTCTGCTATATTTGCCATTAGGAAGCCTTCTTGAGGCAGTTTCAAGAAGTCATTGGTATATGTTACCATGTCACTTGAATTCTCGCTTTGATACCCATCACTTCTAACATTAACCTCAAACTATTCTGGGTCTTTGAATCACTCTCTTAAGCTATAAGTCAAAACAGGGAGATCTGAGTGCCTGAGTTTTAGTCTTTGGCATGCATCAGAAAAGAGAATATCTTCCTTTCTTAGGATTCTGTTATAGGAGTGATATTCAGATACTGGCTATTCATGAACAGCAAATATTCACTACAGTCCTTTCACTGCCCAACTTTATTCATACACTGATTTCTCCCAATACCTAAACTTGAAAAAACAAAGTTTCTTCCTAAAGTGAAACTGCCTCATAGAGTCAAAATCTTCATCATTGATCCCATTCAGCATGTAGTCCTATGTCTCTTACTCTCTTATTTATATCTAGTTCATGGTGATATCTACTCCTAGGAATCAAACCCAGGACCTTACAATGCTAGGCAAGTGCTCTACTGCTGAACTACATCCCCAGCTGACCTACTTCTTTTGTAGTCCCATTTTAGTTTTATCTAGCTAATGTACTATTACAGTATTATATACAGTATCAACAGCTAACACATATATTCAACAGCAGAGAATGGGAAGTTAAAATACGTTACTATATATGTAAGATAGCAAGTAAGCAAGGGTGGAGGCTAGAGTATTGGTTTCTGCAACTGTTCAAAGCCACACAGCTATTTATTACTTATTTTCTCTCCTATCTATCACCTCTACACTTTTCTTCAAAAGCCACTAAGCTAACCAAGATTCTTCAATCAGTGGAAGAACCAAAGTGCATGTTCCTGAAAGACTAAAAACTGAATTTTATATATGCTTAATATATAGAGTTATCATAACTGCTGATTAATTTTTCAAATAGGTACAGTAGAGTGAAAGTTTCTCTGAATCCATCTAAATTTTTCTCCCTCCCCTTATTGTATAACTGTCCAGTTTTCATCAGAAGCATTTTGTTTGCTTAGCCAATAGCATAAGACTCAAATGCCCATGTAGTTGGTTTCACTAAATTGTTTCTATGTAAATTGTTAATTTCTTGGATATTAACCCTCTAAATTAGCAAAACTAGAATTACAGGAAAGGAAAGCAAAAATATTACAAGTTTGTTAACTATGATTTCAGAAGGTGTCCATGCATTTTGGACAGTTGGTTCTTAGAACTTTATGTTCTAGCAGTAGAAGAAAGAAAATCACTGATGATTACTAGTGAGAAAGTCCTCAGTCAGCAACATTACTGTACAGGAGATCATCTTGGTATATAAGACTTTAGTAATTCTACCATTAATTACTGGCAGAATAATGATAGGTAGAAAAAGAGACCCAAAATGCAATATAAGTGTCTATTCTTACAGAGATAAATAAATGTCCCCTATGTGATAGAAAGGTCCAGTTTAATCTCCTCACCACCAAATAACCTTCTGGTCCTTTGGGTAAGGTATTTTATAATGGACCTAGGTTTAAATTCAACAGTAGCAATGGTTGGGTCTACCTAAGAGGAAAGGGAAGTGTTTGGGCCATGCATAGTTGACATCTCATTCCCTTAGTACAGGCTTCCATTGCATAAAACACTGTGACCTGGGGGGGACTGCCTGAGATCCTCCCAGGTGACTAATTTACTTGACCATTAACAGCATTTTCTGCAATGTTCTTCAGCCATATAAAACATCTGCTTTTCTTGTTACCTGCCCTCCATTGGTACTCTTGCCAAGCTCCTTACCATCTAGCCAATCCAGGCAAAGTAGGAGTCATCAAGTTGCATTATCTCTATTTTGCAGTAAAGTAACAGTGAATATCAAGTTTATGATCCACAGCCTCAGTTGCAAGAGCCCAGGTATCACAAAGGCATGCAGTCTTCTTTCCCTTTTTCCCCCTCCCAAAATATCCACAAAAATAACAGTCTTCTCAAATAACATCAGAGATGAAAATGGAAGCATTATAAGTAATACTACAGAAATAGAAAGATCGTAAGAGGAAAGAATTCTGCCAAACACTTTCTACAAGACCAGAATTATACTGACACCAAACCAGATAAGGACACAACAACAACAAAACAAGAAAATGACAGGCCAATATCCTTTATGTGCATAAATGCAAGAATTGTAAACAAAATATTAGCAAATAAGATCCAGCAGTGCATTAAAGAGACTGTTCATCATGATCAAGTGGAATTCATCCTAGGTATGAAAGGATGGTTCAATATATGCAAGTCAACAAACACAATACACCATACCAGCAAAATGAAGGGC